TGATAATTTTATTGTTTGCTTGTTGGTCATGAGTACGATATTTACAAGTCAAAACTTTTAACATAGCGAATTATTGTATAATTAAAAAAAAAAAACAAATTCGTGAATATACTGTAATACTAGAATCGGAAATTTGATTTGATAATTGAATTTTGGAGATGATTATGACAGTAGTTGGTGGTAAATTAAAAAGATTCTTAACAATTAATTTTATTAAAGAAAAGTTTGACTTACTGTTTGTACCGAAACATAAGAAAGTATTGAACGTTACCAAAACATAAAAATTGTTAATATATACGCCCTTATTCAAACGATATAAACGTTATTGGATAACTCGATGTTTCCCTGTCTTCATTTTAAATTAAGCTCTATAACTTCCGGCATTTATAAAGAAATATTTATTATAATGTAACAAAATGGAGAAACTTACTCAAAATAAGTATTTTTGCATCAATGCGTGAAAATAAACGAATCGCTGCTTCAGTTTTGTTTAAATCGTTGAAACCTGAATATATAATATATCTGTCAAATAATAACATCATATGGAGATAATAACATTTAAAACCTTAGACTCAAAACAGGCTCTATTGTTCCAAAACGCACACTACTACTGTTATACTGCTATACTATTGTGTGGTAGTAGTCGTAGATATTACCTGTATTCGTACAGCAGTGGTCTCTGCACGTTGGAAGTAACCGACACAATTAGTACCATTATCACAATATTTCATTTACACATATATTTGCCAATTTGCTGGACTGATATTTTCATTATAAGGATTCATCTTCATCTAAACTATAGTTTTTTTATCTGGTTGAATTAGACCTATTTTAAATCATTTATTATTTTTTGAATCTCTCAAATGGGAGCATAGTCGACTGTCATACAAGTGAGAGGTTTAGCTAGCTATAAAATCAGGTTTAATCCACCATTTCCTACATATGGAAATGCTTGTACCCAGTCAGAAATATGGCAGTTGTTTTCCATGTGTTTGAGCTTTTGATTTTGCCATTTGACAAAGGACATTCCGGTTTCCTCGGAGTTCGGTATTTTTGTTATTTTTTTTTATATCAATTCAATATCTTATAAACACTACAAACCAGTAAAAGTCTGAAATGGCCTATATCTGTACTCGACTGTACTGATTTTTACTTTTTTCTAATGAAAGTGAACAGCCTATTCATCAAATTTAGCGTTTTAGCGTTTTCAATCTTGAAATACTGGAACATAAAATACGCGTATCCGTTTTCCACAAGGAAAATACAAACTAGGTAAATCCAGAAAAATGCTTCGGACACAACAAATTAAAGTGTTATTTTCATTGATCTCGACTTTTATTGGGCCTACTCAGTGACAACAGGTTAACGTTAGTTTTGTCTTAGTGTGTTGTCCGTCAAAGAATTTTGCGTTGACAAGTGTTCATAGAAACATTCCAAAGCAATAAGTTTGATAAGACCATCAATTCGTATATCAAATAGTAGGGTAAATCTGTAAAATAACGTACTCCTGATTAGCATATTTGTCTCGCATACTTTCTTTGGAACTATTTTGCATTTAAGCGAAAACTGTTAAAAAAGTCTTATTTTCTAACCTTCTCATTCGTATTCATTCTAATCAACAAGGATTGGGTGACCAATTAAATGGACATGTGCATGAAGTCACTAGCGAAATGTTTTCGCGGTCTTAGTCCTATCTGTAAATGTACTGATTGTGTCCATTTGACAGTGACATTTTTACTGAGTGCAGATATGTATGGCGAGTGATACATACATAGTGGGAGATGCTTAACATGTCGACTCACCGGATATTTGTCCTATCTGGGTTCATGCAAACCCCAAATTTATGGATTTAGGAGATTAGATCATCGGTAACTTCTGTTGCCTAAATTTTGTTTTTGAAAATGAGCTATAGCTTTACACCTTAAAAATGTCTTAAATGATGTCATTGAAAATGAAATTGTAGTTTAAAAATCATGATTGACATTTAAGCATACTTTATCTAAAAGTTACTGCAGCAGGAGTAGAATTTTACCGGATAGTGTCTAAAGTTACAACAAAATTTTTATTGCAGAGTAATCATTTATTTCAATCTAAATATTTATGGCACTCAAATTTTTCTTAATAATCCAAATTTATGTTAAATATATGTGAAAGGTCTTATAATCTTTACTAATCTTTTAATGTTATTTTATAACAGAGCAATTTTCAATTTTAAGTCGCCTCATAATTATTGTACATATGACACTTTTTTGCATTAAGATGTTGATCATATGTTAAAAAGGTGTCTGATTTAAATCATAACGCACATAAAAAAAATCGTAACAAAGATATTTGGCGTTAGCTATTTGCAATGTCTCTGAAATAAATTGTACATTGTCCATGCTTTCTCACGAGTTAAAGTACAAATATTAAGGTTGCACAAATGTTTCATTGATATTTGAAACTTCTGATCTCTTCTATGTACTTGTGTTTTGTGTTGATTGCAAAAATTTTCTTTTTATTGTACTGTTGAGTTCGTTTCCCATTGTATTCGAATTAAATTATATACATTGCACTTGTGGACAAGGGAAAGTCTAAGCGTAAGTGTTAACCAGGTTTTGTCTTAAGTTACAACAAACGTGTTAAAGAAAACTATTAATGTATTTTAATTTTAAGATTCAAATAATCAACCAATCAAATTTCAAATGTCATGTATTAACAGAATTTTACTGATGGAATGAACACTCATGAGTATAATTGAATGCAATGACTTATCAGTTTTTTTTTTTATTTCTGTGTTAAAGTTATACCATCCTGTTAGTATAGCTGCACTGGTTTTTTTGTGTGTTTTTAATTAGTTGTACGAAAAAATGGTAGGATCTGGTGGTTGAGGTGGTCTGTTCTGATTTTTTTTGCTATTCCTGTTGTCCCTTTTTATGTGTTACTTTACAATAAATATGAATTTCAATGTAATGTAAAGATATGCATCCAGCAAGATGGATTGCAAGTATTTTTGCAAGTTTTTCTCTACCTATTTACAGACGTTTTACACAAGAAAATCACTAGCACGTTTATCCATGATTGGCTTTAAAAAATTAGGAATAATTAAAGAGCCATGCTATTCCTCAATAACTTCAATTACAGCGGACAACATGCCTTGTTTTACAAAAAGGTATGGCTTATAGATATTGCCATCTGACATGAAGTCAAACCATTTAAAAATCCTAGTAATCATTTTGCAGCTAGTATGCGCATAACGAGATGGCATGATGAGGCCATTTTTTTACCTTTAAACGCGAAAATCAAAAAGTATCTTAAATAAAGGCATTTAAATCTACCAAATAACACCATTCAGCTGTTCATAAAACATTCGTCCATTAAATAACAATATGTATATTTTCGAATATTGTCTGGCATGTTTCAATTAATGCTTAAAACTTCTTGAATTTATTTAGTGGGAAACTGCATAAACTGCCAAATAAAGGCAACAGTAGTATACCGCTGTTCGAAACTCATAAATCGATAGAGATAAAAACAAATCCGGGTTACAAACTAAAACTGAGGGAAACGCATCAAATATAAGAGGAGAACAACGACTCAACAAAAACACAACATTAAAAATGTAACACACACAGAAACGAACTATAATATAACAATGGCCATTTTCCTGACTTGGTACAGGACATTTTAAGAAAAAAATGATGGGTTGATCCTGGTTTTGTGGCATGCCAAACCTCCCGCTTTAATGGCAACGTCAAACACAACACCAAAACGACAACATCACATGACACGACCACAATACAAATAAATGGGAGAACATATAGGACAAAGAAACACACGAATAATAATAAAAGTCTCGTTTTGAGATCTTGTGATTATATATAAGCAACGGATCAACCAAAAAAAAAATTTTTGTTAGAAGAAGTATTTTACACAGATGTTAAGGTGTATAGAAAGATCTTTTTATACAAGACTGTTGCTCCATTTTGTCCAAAAATATGTGTAAAATGGTCATTTTAGGTCAAATAGTCAATTTTAACAGGTGTATGACATCACGATGACATCACAAGTGACCATTTTGCACTAAAGTGTCTAGATTATATTAATCTGTTCATTTATCCATCAAATTAACATAATTTAGAGAGGTTTGAGTAAATTTACTATTTTTGCAATTTCATTGATTAATAATGACTATTAGTATTATCATACCTTCTCCTTTGATGCTAGTTTATTGATACAGCGCATTAGTGTTGGAACGCAAATATCGGTATGCCGAGTAGCGTGATAAATCTAAGTTGCCAGAGCGATGGCTTGGAATTCGTATGTCTACGAGAAGGAACATATTTCTTAAATGACATACTAGTTTAACGAATGAATCAATGCTACTGCGTTTTTATATTTATTGTAAATCCCAATAACAGAGCACATTTTTTCACTCAGTTGCAATCTGAACACAAAGAACTACTCATCATTTTACAATCTGTACGGTTGACATCTGAAATCGTACGATGCATAGAGTGTGTCGGTATCTCAACTTCCTCTAAGTATATCTTACGTGTGCAGTATGTCCATCTGACATTACTATAAATATTTTATCATACTCATTGCCGTGACATTAAGTAAATTGGTAGGGAAAGATGAATGATGTATAAGAGAATATATTTACTATTTTGACACAATCATGTTTGGGCTAACTTTGGTAAATACCCTTTATATTCAAAATATTCGTTTGTCTGCATAATTTGAGTCATAAACCTGATAACTTTAAAGATTTAAAAAAATAAAACAATATTGAATGTGTAAGAACATCTTGGTCCTCTTGTGTTTGATCCTTTCATACCTATAATCTTTTTAAATATCTGTTTAAATATCTGTTAAGGAATTCACCAGGTAAATCACTTCATTACAGGTGTTCATTTCGCTTCATGGTGGGCGTGGTTTTCCCACAATCTTTAAACATATTGTCGCGTGCCATGTATAATTAAGTTGAATACATCTACACATCTGAGACATTGTGATGAATCGGCCAATGAAATGAGGGTAAAATTTTCACGTTACCAATTTTCGACGTTTGAGTGACATTTATATCAAAACTTACTTTCTAATGAATTCAAAATATCTTCTATATTTAGTTTAATAAGTTTTAGAAACGAAATGGACTAACTTATATGCCAATTTGTGTATTAAATAGCTCAAAAATGGAAAACGAAGTCAGCAGCGCAAATGAGGATAATAATAATGACCCATTCACAAGTGAATTACAGAAGGAGGGTAGTGAAAAAGTTTCATCCACATCAACGGAGAAACGGAAAGTAAGTATATTATTTGGTAACGGTATTGATCTTTTCTCGAGGATTTTATTTGAATATTTTCTGTTGCTTGATTTTGAAGAAAAAAATTACTTCAAGAATATACAATTTTCTGTTATCCCTTCGTAACCCGATAAGATCATTTTGAAATTCAAACAAACTGTTTATCTAAATGGCCCACAAATAATCTTATTGTTTTTCTTAAAGTGTGTGTCTAAGAAAGAAACAACTTTCTTCTAACATCTAATTGGCTTTTCCTTATGTTTAATTTTAATCTAAACGTTTGCATATTCCTCTAGTTTTTTTATTCATTTTTTACAGATGCATTTTTTTTATATGTCATCATGTTTTTCGTTATTTGCTTCGTTATAGAAATAGAAATTAATTTATTTTTAATAGTAAGTAAAAGAGTGAAGAAGCTATCAATGCTGCAATAAAATAAAGCTAATAAAAGCAATAAAAAGAAAGAAAAGACAAACACACAAAAAACATCCTCAAAACACTATACACACAATTGAAGATCAAACATGAACTAAGTAGTTCATTAATTCCTTTATTCCATGTAGTATTATTTTATGGTACTAAAAGCTGATTGTTTTACAGTCATCAAAACCACTTATGGAAAAAAGAAGAAGAGCAAGGATAAATGCAAGCCTGTCAGAGCTGAAAACTTTTCTTTTAGATGCCATAAAGAAAGAAGTAAGATTTACATGATATGTTATTTGATAACCCCATTTAGTCAGTGTTAACATTGATTGAGCTAATTACTGATCATCTACAACTGTAGTATGTGTTCACAACATCTACTCCCATTGACGAGCGCTTGTTTTACAAATATTACGAAAGTGTTCAAAAATCATGCAAACCATTTTTATCTTGCACCATAAACCGAATATTAAGGAGCAGTGATTGGTAGGTAATTCAATATGACGCTACGCTATTTGTACCTTAAGGTTTTTTGGAACAGGGCCATTATTGTCCAGCTCATCACGCCGTTTTCACTTGAAAGACGTTGGAAAAAATAGTTTGTCGGTTTGCCGATGAGTTTCAATATTTTTTAGCTAAAGTTTGCATGATGACAATCAATTAAGAATTTATCTACATTGTACCTTGAAAGGAAAAGTATCGGAACCAACTCGAAACAGAAGGAAGATCTATAATCTAGGGAAGAAGGAAATGCAAACTAGGGAAATCAAGAAATAAATAGGGAAGAAAAAGTCGGTTATTTATAAGACGTCATGCAATCTATATTGGTAGCATGTGGGAATCAAGCATTTATACACCCGTTAAAGCATTCTTGAAGAGAGCGTTTATGATGTTAAATACAGAAATGTGCTTCGGACGATTTAAATTTTATTTTTGTTATTTTCAATTATAAATATAAAATGAAGTTATTTGTCCTTAGTTAAAAATCTCTTCGAGGAAAATTTTATCGTATAATTATCGTAGAATCTTTTTACACGCTTTATTTTTGAAAATTTTAATCTTTCACTCTGTAGTTACATTATCAATTGTTTGAAATAATTCTTACAAGCAACAGTCAGATAAATGCTAATCATTTATAAGGTCCGACAGCATACCAAGTAGCTATGGGATTCCATATTGTGCAAATATTTTGGATTGTAATTATCATTTTTAACAACAATAACAACTAGAAAACAACCAACAATCATAAACGCATGTAAACCAAAATAATAATTTAAAAAATACGTACTTGATGCGAAACAAATGAAGAAAAAGCCATGGAGCCATTGAGCAATTTGTTTTTTAGAAGTTGGAGGTTTTACTTTACTGACAGAACAACTATTGTCGAGTGAGGTTTTGATTTCTGACAAAAAATGTAATGTAGCAAGTAACCTCTATGGTTGCTTTTGAACCGTCCCTTTATATACGTATATTTAGTTTAAACATATTTGTTGGTAAAAATAAGAAAAACGATATGACAAAATTTGTGACAATTTTATGAAATATTGTTTTTTAAATATCATATATTCTTGGAAAAATGTATTCCAAATAATACAATAAAATTGATAATTGAAGTTTTAGAAGACAAACATTGCGTATGCAAAACGTTTGTCCTTAATTGCCAAAAAACTAGTATCTAAATATTTCATCAGTGCAGTAGAAAAAAACGCGATCATAGCACATACTATTTTAGAAAGAACAAAAAGAATTTTAATAATTACGTTATGTTTGATTGATAAATGTCTTACGGGAGTGCGGATTCGTATGTCGGTTCATGTATTTATACCAGGAGACGCTTATCCTGTTCACGATTCTGGTCTCGCTGCTCTTTTTGGAGTTCCTGCGATTATCTCAGTGTTGGTTTTTTTGTACTTTGATTTAAATCATCATTATAGATTTATCAGATTTTAACATCGATAAAATAATCTTGCCTATAATTTACCGTTATACACGAGTCGTCTATCAATCATCTACTGTTTACCAAGTGGTTTGACTTAAAATATGATTTTGTAATAAGTAAAAGACTAATGAAATTATGTATGCAGGAACTGCCTACCCCTAATGAGCCAAACGAGTTTATACCAGTTTGTAATTATGATCGGTTTTGCCAATCGTTAATATTCAGTAGATACCTTGATTTTCATCTCCTTTATCGATTTATGCTATATGAACATCAACAAAGTACTGTTGCCTATATTTTTTGAGTAATAATTTTATTTTTTAATATTTTTTGTTTTGTTTCAACATAGAAATAGTAGTTCATATTCGTATAGAGACTTTTGACCGACCCCTTAGTGTCTACTTTTAAATTGTTAAAATGAGACTAACTTTTGTTTGCACTAGGGGTAGGGGGTTCCTGCATTACTAGTTACATTAGTCTTGTTCTTACTTTTAAAATCAGATTATAAGTCATATCTGTTTGTTATAGCTCCTGTCTTTTTTACGTTATCAACATTCTATGGCTTTCAAATGTTAGGTTTCAGCGTTTCAGATGCACGAAATTGGAAAAGTGTTCAATTCCATTTAATATAGAACTGCACAATATTAAAAGAGTTAAAAGAGTTGTTGTTATTTGCAGGGTATGAGACATAATAAAATGGAAAAAGCCGATATCTTGGAACTGACAGTTAAACAATTACGCCAACTTCAAAGACAACAATTTTCAAGTACGTATAATCTAATACTGATTACGAATAGAACCACTCACTCTGATCAAGAAAACATGTTTTCATTTACTTATTGCTTTGTTGTATATTTCAATAAGTACAAACAGACTATTGTATGTATCATATGAACATGTGAAGAAAGTCAAAACATTACGTTCAATTTCTGATGTTATATAATTATCGGAGTAATAGATTGGTTGTTGTTTGCTTAACTTGTTTGTTTTGTAAGATATCACCTACTGACTATCAAAGAATTGTTACAAGGGTTCTTTTACTTGCAGAGAGCGTTGCATTCTCCTTCATGAGAAAGTAGACATAATATCCGGATTCGGACCAATTGGAAATACATATTTTAATACATAACACACAGGCAAACCAACACATGATATAACAGAATCGTATGCATGGTCAAGCATACACATCAAGAGATGATTATCATGTCGAAGCACAAGGTTTTCCTTATCAGTCGTGTCCATTCACAAGTTTCCGTTTGTATAAATATATACAAATCACTACCTACGTATATAACTCATATATATATAATCATTTGTATTCTATTTCATCAACAGGTAACCCAAATAGTGATACATTTCGAATAGGATTTATAGAATGTGCAACCGAAGTGTCTACATTCTTAAAAAGCTTGCCAAATATAGAACCAGATTTGCAGGCAAAACTACTCGAGCATCTTTCAAAATGTACATCAGATAAAAGTATAAAACTGACCCGGGAACCTCATATTACCCCTTCAATTTCTTGCAAACATAAAGACCAAGAATCATCCAGTTCAAACGATTCTTCATATTGTTATAATCAGAATGAACGTTATTCTAACCAACCTTCAAATAACAGTGATAAATCAGGACGAATTCAGTTGACTTCCGCTTTAACAAGAGATTACTGTACATCTCCAGAGTCATTGAGAACAGTAGAACAACCAAATATAATAGTACAGGGCCCATCAACTTCTAATGGAATCATACAAAATTCTGGATCTATAAATTTCCGAGAGACTAACACTATGCAAAATGTTCCTTTAAATTCAGGACTAACAGTTGGAAATATATTCAGTGGGTTAAAGGTTTTGCCCGTTAAACTTCAAACTGGTGAAACAACGTTTATTATTCCGACTAATATTGTGCCAGGTTCATCCATTCAAAACTGTGTCTTTCCAGTAATGACGTCGATTGACTGGGCTAAAATTTCGACGCAACCGCAGTCGTTGTTTTATATGAATACATCGTCAAGTGATACAATGACACTGAATAGTGGTACAGATCATACTGTTCAAAATATGAATAACAGGAGAGAAAATCAAGTCGGAATAAGTACATCTTCCGAATCAAATATACTTAACCTCAGCAATAATGAACGAAGAGACAGTTCTCAAAACAATATGACTATAAATAGAAACTCGGCACATCCATATGACAATAGAAGTCGGGAAGAAATTCAAAGACCGGTTTGGAGACCTTTCTAAAACTTTCGATTAACAAATGGCATTTTGTTGTGTACTGAAGGATTCTAGCGACTTTGTTTCCAAAAATAAACAAACAATGCATTAAACTCTATGAACGTTCACATTGGAAATTGTGTCCGAAATTGGATCAGTTGGGAGAAAACGGTTGTTTTTTAATAGATCTTACAATAGAATTTTACACCCATACATTTTCGTACTAATTGACGTTCTGAAAGCGATTAAGATAAAATCATAAACTTTATTTTCTTACCCGATAAAGTAACAAATGAAAACTTATAATACTTTTTCCGTGTAGCAAATAACCTTTTTATCCAAATAATGTTTAGTACAAAATGAGATGGATCTATCACATTTCTTTTTTTCTATTAAAAAATCTCAAATTGACCTAAACATTACTGAATGCTAGTAAAGAATGAAGGGAATTAATCTAGGGTTTGAATTTCTCAGAATACTGCACGGTATTGACAAAAAACGCATTTACAACCGAAAAAGCACCATGTATATTGATAAACAGATTACACAACTGGGTAATGATAATTCAAATGCATGCATGGTGTATCAATGTTCAAAACATTCCCATAGTAATGCTACCAGAAGTGTTAAGAAATAAAAAAAATAATGAAACCAAGCCTTATGGGTTTAAAAAAAAAATATGTCAAAAATATCCGTGTCATTTCATGTTATATTGTAAAAAGAGTTCACACCCATTAGTTCAGAACAACACATACTTTTTCATTTTAATTTTGTCTATGAGAACAGGAAAGTACCAAGTCTTTCACCGAGACTATCACTGCCAGCGTTAACCATAAAGAACACAAATGTAAACATTCAAATCTTTTAAATAGCTTAACAATTTGAAAAGAGTTTACTTACTGAGAAATATCAACAAGTCTTAAATAACAAATTCATACCTTTTACTCTCTTTCTCACGCCCTTTATGTTAACCTTAGATAAAAAGTGCGTCGTTTATCATGTCTATACTTCTACGATACTGTTCAAAATTTATTTGACTTTAATTTTAATAGTTGTGAATCATCGATGAACATTGGAAAGTTTGTATGCCTACAAGTTCAGCAAAATGCTATTCAGATAATGCAATCATTACCTGGTTGTTTGAATTTATGTACATATTCGTAATGGGAACAGTAAAATATTGACTAAAAGTTGAATGATTCATTGACTGGTATTTGTCCCATTAAGTACGGATATATCATGCATATTGACGACTTATGCTTCCTACTCAATAAATATGGGTGAACTCTGCACATTATTCTACCAGATTGTAACTTCATATTTGTCTATTTTAGCGCTGCTGATGAATCTTATGTAGACAAAACGCGTGGCTGGTGTAACAAAATATAAGCCAGGTGAGTTTTACAACCAACAACCACACAATCGATGGCACTGCTGTTGGGAATTTCGTTTCCGACGTTACCAGCAGCCGAGAAGTCAGCCCATTTTGATGAATGAAATATCATTGATATTGTCATTTTCGTTAAATTATTTTGAAGTGTGAACACAGATAATTCTTTCTGATAATTTCTCAAGCTATAACTAGTACCAAGATATTACTAAAACAGAAATCAAAACCAATGGTTATAATAATAACATTATAAGTATATCAGAGACAGATTCAGATACATAATGTTAACAAATTTTGAAATGGATTGATTTTTGCTTGTTTAACTTAAAATTGAGTGTAAATTACATTTTGTAATAGAAAGCTAGAAGTTTGAAAAGGACATCTAATTCAAAAAAATATATTAATCTGATTCATTCCCGGTTTTCAGAGTATGAATAAATTCATCGATGAAAATATGGTTCAACTATTAGTCTATATATATTCTCAATTGTTCCGTGCTCCAGTATATCCCCATGTGAAAGTTACTTATCTACTGGTGTCTATCATCTATCCCTCATTAACCATATTCATTCGGATGGCCTCTGGCAGGATTCAATTTACACAGTCAACTCGAATTTCATTGGAAACAGGGTATTATTTCATGTGTGAAAATACTGCATTTAACTGTATGAAATTATTCATATAAATCCGTGAGTTATCGTCATAAAACTGTTACTATCTCAGCAGATTATCATCTAGACGTTTCGCCATAATTAAGGATTTTATTGACCGATACAGTTTTCATGCGGTGATCAAATAATGGTCAGCTGAATAAATTATAAGCAATATAGGGAATATCTTTTAAATGACAAGTCAATTTTCAGTGTTTTGAAGAAAGATACAGGATACAATATAGGTAATCTGAAATCCAACAGTGGTCTTCCGTCTTAAATAGGTGTAAGTGTAAGTTATATCCTGACGTACTTTCAGGGATAGTACCACAGTATATATCACTTCTGAAGTGAAGTGTATATTTAATGTAGCTTGTGTGTATCTTCTTATGAAAATGTTTCTGTTATAACTTTATAATACATAGAACAAACTCACCATATATACCAGAATTAAAGTTTTGAACACCAGGCGCGCGTTTTGTCTACAAAAGACTCATATGTGATACTCGAAAGTTACAAAAGCCAAATAAAGCACGAAGTTGAAGGGCGCTGAGGACCTAAAATTTCGAAAGGTTTTGCCAAATACAGCTAAGTTAATACAAAATGTGAGATAGAAAATCCTTAGCATTTCGAAAATTCAAAGGATAACAGTCATTGACAATAAAATATTAAAGTATAACATATCACACCCCCTACCAACATTAGAGTCCGCCAAACAAAATAGTCCTAAAAATAAAGAAAAAACAACAACGAATTTCACAAAAGGTTATTTGGTTAGTAAAAGAGGTCTATTGTTTGATAAAACTTCTTTCGAATCGACATTTTTGTCAATATATATTATCAAATGTCAGCACCATTTTTCGGATCCGAGTCAACTATTATTTCAACAACTCCGTGAAATAACAACAGAGTGGCGGACTTTAATCAGATGGGAATAAGAACAGCTTTCAAGGAAACATATACGGTTTTACAGAAGAAAACAAATTGGCCATACATCTTTAAAGTTTCTTTTTAAAGAATTTTTCTTACAGTGGGAAATCTACTGACAAAATATTACATCCCCTGTAAACACTAAAAACTAAATCTTCTCAATGTTTGTCCCATTTTAGCAAGGATGCTATCAATTATGGATTCACGGAAAAACGTTCTGGTAAAATGTAAAAATAGAAATAAATTGAAATAAAAACAAAACTTCCACTCAATGTTATCATTTTCCTCCTTAAGTAGCAAACGACGAGTACAGCAGGCTATAGAAGCTTGGTGTAAAATTGGTTTAAAATGTTGCTATGCGAATACATTCCTGGAGTACCAACTTCAATTTATTTTTTTACTGTCTGTATGCCTCTCTGGAACATGCTAATTTTTCGTATATATATACAGCTAGTTCAGAGAAAGTCAGGGAAAAAATTCCAAAGGAATCGATTGATATGCAGCAAAGATTGGCACTTTTGAAATTAAGTTACTAAGCAAAATCAAACAGACCTTATCTCGATGTAAACATTGAATGTGAATAGATCGAGAAGACCGCAAATACTTGTACAAAACTCGAGACGACCTTTTCTTAAAATTGTATACAGAATAGAAGGAAGATACATTCTTTATAAAACTAGTTATCTAGTTTTTTAACCTGCACAGACAGACTTTTAAATGTTTATATTCACGAAAAAACAACAGTTCTCTATTGAATGAACATGTGACAAGAGCAGACCGGTGTGCTCGATAACTTAGGTGTGAAAAAGTAAGCATACTTTGTGAAATTGAAACATGCTAAGGATTTTTTGGAACACTCAGAAAATTGATGACCCGAAAGATCTTTCGATTTTGTATGTACATGATTTTTTCTAATTTTTTTTTATCAATATGCAGCAAAGATTGGCAGTTTTTAAATTTCAGTTTCACAAGCTTCTGAAGCAATTATCTCGATAAATACAGAACATAAAACATCGTGTATTTGCATGTCTATTTCTAATAACACAGTTTAACAATTAATTTATTTAAAATGTACAATTATTATCTAGAAATAACTTTTGATCAGTATCGTCACCGGTATTGTTTTATTATTGACTTTCTCAACTCTATCATAAGAGTGAATTTTCTTTTGTTTTCGTTCACTGGATATCCCACTGCTTAGATACAAATTACAAATTGAATTCACGTCAGTACAAAGGGACTGACTACCGTGCTTGTGAAAATCCTCCAGTTATTGCGATCGACCCTAGAAAATAATTTTCAAAAAATTTAATTTTAATTCTTAACGTATAATTTTAAACAAAATGAGAAGACGATACAACTGAAGCTTAACTAGAAAAAGGTATCATGTTATTAATTATATGTCATAACATGTTTGTTTTATATAACATGTATAATTTAAATGCGTTCGTCGCTTAAAGCGTACCAAGCAGTGTTTTTAAAAAGTATTTTAACTTTACTTGATAATAGGATCATACATCGTCATTCGAATTAAAGTATTCACTTAACAAACCTTGTTATTTACTCCGTATAGCAAATGGTCTGTGGCTCATAAATTGAAAACTGTAGCAAGAGCTTAATAAACCTCATTGCTACAGCTATAACCTTGCAATTGATACTCCTATATTAAATAAATCATAGGTTCTAATAGTTGTTAATTTTATGGGCGCAATTATTTTTGGCATTTGTCGGAAAAGAAACGACCGAATTGAGTACATTAGAGAAAATAACGCGTGTGCGGTATTTTTAATTGTGATTATATTGAATTACTGTTGAAGTTAATTGCTGAATGTGACCATACTTCGATCTCAAGCATGAAAGTACTTATTATAAAAAGCGCCCCTTGACCAGTTGTCAATGACATTGGTTAAAATACTCTACTACGTACAATTTGACAATTTGATATGAAATCCGTCATTTATAAAAAGAGATGTGTGATAAAGTCAATGAGACAGAAACCCAACACAAATAGCCTATATACATCATAAATGGTGCTTTACATGATACTGATTCCTTTAAATATATATTAATTATATATTAAATACTTTAATGATGGCTAAAAGCTGAGAAAATTCCTCAAAAATGTACAGTCGCACGTCAAATGTATCA